ATTATACAGGTTCAGAGACTTTGCTGCCCTCCCAAATTAATTTCCTTAATTTTTTCTTTTCATCCACAATGATGGAGTCAGGCTAGGGTATGATGCTATAAAACACAGCAAAAAGATTTGTGTGGCTTCTTTCATACCATAGTGTTTCTTTCTTTCTTTCTTTCTTTCTTTCTTTCTTTCTTTCTTTCTTTCTTTCTTTCTTTCTTTCTTTCTTTCTCTGTTCCAATGCAAGCACTATATCTGTATTCTCTCTCTTGTGTATTAAAGATCCTGTATACCACGAGGAGGAGGAAGTGGTTCTGGAGAAGGTGGAGGTGGAGGTAGTGGTGGCCGTTGCCAGTCCTCCTCCTCATCCCAAGGCATGTCTGCATCCCATCACAGCCATTCACCATCCCAATGTCAGCCTTCGCCCACCCAGTCTGGATCCAGTGGCTGCTCGGGTAAGTAGAATCCACCGCTTGTGCCAACACTTTTGTTATTTCTTTCTAGCACGTAGGTCCCAGGTCCAGTCCCTGTCACTTCCAGGTCATTTCTGCATTTGCCTGCCACTCCAGGTTTTCTACTTGTTTGAGTTAAGGCAATTTAAGACCACAGCAAAACAGGGGCTGATTCTGCATTGGCTTTTCCCTCAGTTGTTTTACGAAACCAACGTTGGAACAGAAATTCCCCTCTGCATTGCATGCGGCTGTCACTTCCTTTGATCTTTGGATTTTATTGTAGCCTCCACACTCTATGCGGCTTTGATTTCTTTGATTATCAGGTTTTATGGTACCTTTTGCATAGATTCATGGCTGTTGTATGGCTGTTCAGGGGTGACTTTGCAGTCAGTACAGCGGTGCCCCAAGATATTTGAATACGGGCCCATTCTGGATCTAGCATTTGCACCGTTGTTTTACCAAACCCACACTGCAACAGGAAAAGATGTGGCTCAAAACCACATTCAACGAGAGATCAAAGGAAGTGAAACCGGCATGCAGTGTGGAGGCTACCATAAAATCCGACAATCAAAGAAAGTGAAAGTGGCATGCAATGTAGAGGGGGATTTCTGTTCCAGCCTCGGCTTGGTACAACAGTGGAGCAAATGCTAGATGCAGAATGGGCCGTAGTTTCAAGCTGTACTTTTTCCTCCCAGTTGAGAAAATGTGGAGCGAATGCTAGATGCAGAATTCCTTTCCGCATTTGCCTGCCACTCCAAATTTTCTCTATGTTTGAGTCGAGGCAATTTAAGTTCATGGCAAAACAGAATCCAAATAACCTGGGGCAACAGCAGGTTGAAACCGGGCTGACCACTGAAGGGAGGGAATGTAATGCAGAACAGGAAAAAAACCTTTTAATAATAAGAAGGTTGAACTCGATTTTAGTGCAGAATGGGGGGGGGGACCCTCTGGATTAAAAAGAAGGTTGAATTAGATTTTAGTGCAGAATTGCTTGGAGGTAGGGTTCCCAAATCCCCCCCAGGGCTGGGTTTCCCCCCGCTTTTGAGGCCCGATTTCCGCCCCCGCGGAATCGGGCCCGGGGGAAACCCCACCCCCGCGTGTGCGCTGCCCGGATGTTTTCCCCTCAAAAGGCTGTGGCCCCGCCCCCAGCGTGCCCGGCATCTGTATGTCACATCCGGGCGGCGCGCACACGCTTTGCGCGCACACCCTCCAGACACCGGGCAGGAGCCCCCCGCCGCCAGGTAAGATTCATTTGGCAACCCTACTTGGAGGAGACTGCGGTGAACATGGATTAAAAGGAGAGTGCGGAAAGGGCCCCAGTGAAAAGGACCAGGCCGTAGCTGTTGTGAAAGGCCTCCACCTGAGACCCTGGAGAGCTGCTGCCTGTCTGAGCAGACAATACTGGCCTTGATGGTCCAGTGGTCTGATACAGTAGAAGGCAACTTTGTGTGTACAAGAAACCACATCAAAAATCCAGCGATTGGAAGAGAGTTTTCCAAATTTAGGTAACTGCTTAGTGAAATTGTCCATTGAGCAGCCTGACATGTGCAATGAACAAACAAAAAATAACAGTGTCCTGTTTGGTATGACAGCAGCTGTTCAGTATTTATTCTGGAGCCCCATCACAGAAATTTAGCCTTAAGGAAAATCTGAATTTGGAGACTTTTCCTCAGGCAAACTGTCTACGTGTTTTGAGCGATTTCCATCCTCAGTAGGGTTGCAAAGTCCTACCTCATGAATAGCGGGGGGAGTCCTGGACGTCTCCTGGAGTCTCCAGAAGTGACGTGATCACGTTGGACACGTTGGGGGCGGGGCCACAATAATCTGAGGGAAAACCATAGAGTTGATAGAGCGCCCCCCCCGCAACTTGCCCGACACGATTACGTCACCTCTGGGTGACGTGTTCATGCCGGGCACGTTGCGTGCTTTGCAGGTGAGGTCTCCCCCGGTGGCCCAATCCCCACTGGTGGGGAATGGGCCTCTTGGGCGGGGTTTCCCCACCCCCCGGGGGGACTTGGCAACCCTAATCTCTTCCGGTAACAGCTTATCAGTGATCCCTGGCCCCAAAACGGTCTGGCTGTCCTCGACCCTGGCCCCAACCTGATGGAACTCTCTGTCTAGTGAGACTCAGGCTCTGTGGGACTTGGTTCCATTCTGCAGGGCCTGTAAGACTGAAATGTTCCACCAGGCATATGGTTGAGAAGAGTGATGGTCAGAGAGATCTTCTGGCCTCCCTTTACCCCTTCCCTGCCCCTTTCCCTTTTTCTTTCTTTGTACTGGCTGCCCCCACGTGTCCACCTGTGATGGATGATAGATGGAGAGCCAGTTTGGTGTAGTGGTTAAGTGCGCGGACTCTAATCTGGGAGAACCGGGTTTGATTCCCCACTCCTTCACTTGCACCTGGCTGGATGACCTTGGGCAAGTCATAATTTTGATAAGAGGTGTTCTTGAAAAAGAGCACTTTCTGTCAAGAGCTCTCTCAGCTCCATCTACCTCACAGGTTGTCTGTTGTGGGAAGGGGAAGGGAAAGGAGTTTGTAAGCCGCACTGAGACACCTTTGGGTAGTGAAGGGCGGGGTATACATCCAATCTCTTCTCTTCTTCTCCTCTATTAGGGCACCATCTGATGTAGTGAAGAAGTCTTAGGTTTTAGATTATAACATGGATTTTAAAACTGTAATACACTGAAATATTGTATCCTGATTATTGTTAGCCGTCCTGAGCCCTGCTTTGCAGGGAATGGAGCAGGACAGAAGTCTAATTAAATTTTAAAAAGTAATAAATAAATAAATGTTCTTCCTGGGGCCAACCACCTGGGGAGTTAAAGGGAGAAGTGAAAAAACATTTGAGTAGACTACCAAAAATTCTCAGGGGTGGAGGTGGGCTTCACATTCTTTCCATGTTCCAGAAAACATTCAGATTCTGTATAGTAATCATGTCCTTTTTTTCATTCCAGACTTCCTGTTAACTTTAGTACTTTCCTTACAAAGCCTGGTTTATTATTTATTCATTCAGATATTCATACCCTGCTCTCCTCCCCAACAGGACCCAAAAATGCTCTCCCCTCTTCCATTTTATCCTCAAAACAATGACCCTGTGAGGCAGGCTAGGCCGAGAAAGTATGATAAGCCCCAGATCCCATGGTAGAGTCGGCATCCAAACCTGAGTCTCTCAGATCCCAGTCTTGCATTTCAACAACTGCACCATGCTGACTCTTGTCCCCCCCACCCTTCCTCACACTATGTACATCTGTATCAGGCGTTAGTATGCTGTTTCTGATCTAAACTAAACACACATACACAGTATTTCAAACTCAGCACTATGGAAAGCAGAGTATGACATCATTATTGGATAGTGAAAATCAGGCAAATTTGTGGACACTACAAAGCTGGTTATTTCTGCTAGCCATTTGGAGAGGCAGAGAGTCCTGCCCGCCAGACATCTTGCTCAGCTATTCCCATCAGCTTCTCAGGTTTCAGTCGGCATACCTATTCCTTGTTGATCCTACCTGTGTGGCCTTGTGGGTTTATGCCTCCTGCCCTGGTGTTAATAGGGTTGGTGGAAAGTGCCATCACTTTGCAGCCAACTTAGGGTGTGGTCACACGCGCAAGATACAGTGTGTGTGTGTGTGTGTGTGTGTGTGTGAAGTGAGGCTATTTCCTCTGGAGGAATTTGACCCGTAGTTGCGCGATCACATAGTCCTTGGGAGCTGCAGGCACAGCCCACCACTGTGTGATCAGACGCAACTGTGGGTGAGTCGTCTTTTTTTTTTTTTTGCTGTTTGTTTCCGATGCACTTAAATGAGGAATTGATTAATCGCATCTCCGCACTGAGGGCTCCCTATGGAGCTTGCGATGATGTGCATACTGAGAAGGGGGGGGGGAACAACGGCACGGAGTCGGGATGGCCTGATCAGACCATCCCGACGCCATGAGAGCGCGCTGGAACGATCAGACATGGGAAAGTCCATCCGTGGCCCGTCGCAACCCATTTACGACTAGATTTCCCCCTGTGTCTTTTTACTACGCTTCTGCGGTAGAGCAGAACAGGTTGCCAACGAGTGTGGGGCGCTTTCCAGATGTTCGTGTCTGATTGCGCCCTTTAAATCCACCTGGCATTCGCCGCTTTTTATGGAGCTAATTGTGTGTGTGATTGCAGGCTTACAGTGACCCCATCGGGTTTTTAAGAGAGGTATTCAGAGGTGGTTGGCTACTGCCTGCTTCTGCGAAGCAACCCTGGGCGTCTGTGGTGGTCTCCCATTCAAGTACTAACCATGGCTGACCCTGCTTAGCTTCTTAGATCTGATGAGAATTGGCTAGCCTGGGCCATCTAGATCAGGGTGTTGATATCCTTTGGGATGTCGAATTCTGCATTCAGTACGAACGTTGGTACTTGAGCAGTGAGGTCACAGAATCATATAAGTCAAAAAGCCCTGATACATGGTCCCCATCTTCTCTGTTATTGCTCCTCCCCTGACAAAATAGGATCCTGCTTGCAAAAGACAATGCCACAGTAAGCCAGACAGTCCCCCAAAGGGCCACAACCAGTGATGTCAGGTTTCTTATGAAAATCTGAATCATCTGTTTTGCTGTCATTCTTATCCCAATTTTTTTTGTGGTCTTCACATTTTTTTGTTTGCAAATCAGAGTGACACTACAACGCCACTCGAAATCTGCCAACCCCTAACAGTACAACTACTGTCTAACCCTATTGTCATCAGTAAGCTTAGACTGGAGTAGCTCTGCATAGGATTGCATAGTGAATTACTCCCATCTAAACCTGTTGTAATCAGAAGGGTTAGACTGGAGCAACTCTGCATAGGATTGCATTGTGAATTACACCATGCAAATCTGCTGACTGTCAGTGCCTTGGAGTCAATGGACTTAGAAGGGTGTAACTCTGTTTTAAATGGCATATGGAGGTGTGGCCTTCCACCTACACAGTGATCTGGCAGGCTTGGTGGTGGCAAGGCAAGGCAATTTTTGTTAATTAGCCAAGCTTTGCCCCAGAACAGGGGTCTTCAACCTTTTTTGAGTCTGCGGGCACCACTGGAATTCTGACACAGTGGTGGGCACAGCCACAAAATGGCTGCCCCAGGAGGTGGAGCCAGTCACAAAATGGCTGCCACAACTTACCTTCAGGCTGCGATCACAAGCGCATTTAGATCCGACATAGGTGTGAATGCCTGACGTATCTAAAGGGAGTGATCAGACAGCAACATCTGGGAAGCATCCCACAGTGATCGGCAACCTGTGCTGCTCTGCTGCAGAAGTGGAGTTAAAAGACACAGGGGAGTCCAGTAGTAAATGGGTTCCAATGGGCCACGGATGGACTTTCCCCTGTCTGATCATTCAAGCACGCTCTCAAGCTGTCGGGATGGTCTGATCAGGCCATCCCAGCTTGGTACTGTTCCCCCCCCTTCACAATATGTGCACCATTGCATACTCCATAGGGGGCCCTCAGTGCTGAGGTGAAAGTCCTCATTTATGCGCATGAGAAACAAACTGTCAAAAAAAAAAACCTGACTCACCCGCAGTTGCATCTGATCACACAGTGACGGCTGCAGCCGCAGCTACAAAGGGAGGTGTGATCTCACAACTGCGTGTCAGTTCCTCCGGAGGGAATAGACTCGCTTCTCCTCCGCTTCAGCTAGTTGTGTGACCGCAGCCTCCGTCACACATTGAAGATCCTTGTGCTGTGGGAGCAGCTGATGCCAAAGCAAACATTTTAAATATCTGCAAAGCCAATCAAATCTCCCAGTGGCCAATGAGAAGCCTTGCCAGAAAAAGCCCCACCTAGCCCTGCCCACTTTCTAAAAGCACTTGGAAGGCACCAGGAAAGGTGTTGGGGACCCCTGTTCTAAAGCATGCACCACAAAATGCTTCATGAGTAGCTGTGTGCAGGTGTTGGACATTTGGGCTGTAGAATCAGCCAAAACCAAATAGGAATGAACCGTCCACCAGCTTCCTCCAAGCCAAGAATGAACGGGAAATCCACAACCTACATGCCCAGCTCTGCCTTCAATGGGAGTGCCATGCAAGCATGGGATGGAGGAGCGTTATACAATTTTTTTTTTACTGAACTCTCATTTTTATGACTTTTTTTCTAGAAGTAGGTGAGTTTCAACCTTTGCCCCTAGAGGGGGACAGAATATTGGAAAGAGGAATAACAATGGAAGATATAGGGGAGGCCATTAGGGCCATGAAGTCCAGTAAGGTTTCAGGTTCTCATTGCATCCCGACATGCAGTGTTCTTCCACCGTATTCCTGCTGTGCATCATTTTGTATCGGTAAAAATGCAACGTTCAGAACAATGCAGAACCATCCATCCCCGCACTCCTCCCTTCTTCTCTGGGGCAACTGCTAGTTCCCAAAGGGGACCAAAGGACCTGTTAATGACAAGTCTGAGGTTGAGTAATCAGGTGAAACCTCTATAGGATTACATAGGAGCAAATGTGATGAATTGCCAAAGAATTCAGCTGCTATAACTTGGCCTGAAGAATCTTTCTCCCCTTCTTCTTTTCACTTTTTTTAAAAAATATGTACTTTGGTGAAATGCTCTGCAGAACCTGCACCCTGTGATATTTTGATTGGTCCTAATAAAAAGGATTATCCTTTTGTTTGGGGATTTTTCTGTGGACCTATTTATTTATTTTATTCTTCAAATTTCTATCCCGCCCAATCATCTATGATGTTTGTTTCAAATGTGTGTGAGAGGATTCTTTTTGACTTTAACTTTTAAATGATTTATTGGTTATTTTTTTAATGTAGAGGACTGTAACAGTTTCAACATCATGGAATTCCCCCCCCCCCCATACCTCCCCAAGGATCTGAAATTAGTATCTGGCTTTGGCATTGTATGAAAGCAACAGCGATCTGACGGAATTGCCATGAATGTAGAATTATTTCCTTCTCTTTCTCAACAGCTCATTCACGAAAGCACTAAGTCTCTACGGACACCATCATTGACCTCTTCTAGTAATTCCTGCCAAGCAAAAACTATGGCTGATGCAAGATCTTCCACTACACAGAGAGCAAGAAGAAACACTTTCCCCCCGCAGTTCACAGATAGGGTCATTGACATCTTTTTAAAGGGGTAAATCCCACATGTATACCCCCAACATTTGTGAAACAGAACCAGGTTAGCTTATTTAACATGTTATAAAGGAGTATGGAGTAAAGACCAAACATGATTTAAAAAAAACACCCCACACCCTCTTTTGATCAACTTTGAGACATACATTTGGAAAGTATACAGATGAATCCCCTTCCTGCCTCTGATGTTATCTGCCTTTTCTGTTCTCCATGATCCAACTACTCTTTGCTGTATTTGCATCTCTAATAAAGCTTTACATCTGCCTGAAGCAATCAGAAACCTGAGTCTTCAAAAATATTCTCTTTCACAAACCTTATTTTAGTTATTTATTTTATTTACATAATTTATATCTCACCTTTCTTCCTTTACAAGGGCTGCCAAAGCGGCTAACAATTTAAAAAGTACGTGATAAAATTACATTATAAGACCATTAAACTCAGCCCACCATATATATATATATATTAAAACCATTTAGAAAAGAGTTAAAAACAGAATTAAAGTACATATAAAACAGTTAAAATACATACAAAACATAGGAACCTTGGTAAAGACAGAGGGATCACTGAGGAAATGCCAAGTGAAACAAGAAAGTCTTCACCTGCTGACAGAAGATGGCAGCAGAAGGGGACCAACAAATCTCCCTGGAGAGAGAGCCCCGGAGCTTTGGGGCCATAACCGAGAAGGCTCCCTCCCAGAAGTGAAACAAGATAGTTTTAGAAGGCAGGGGCACCCAAGGCAGAGCTTCCAAAGATAACCGTGGTGGTCAGGCAGGTTCATAAAGGATTACGCATTACAACCAATAAATGACAATGAACCACAGCATTTAGTGAATATTCAAATCTGACAGACAGAAGGTGCTAAAGAAAAGGCCATGTTCTGTTTATTCTTACACTCCTGAGATTTGTCTCTGTGCCAGAAGCATCGTGAGATATAAAGGCAGGCGACAAGGCAGCCAGTACATGGATGGTTAAAATAAAATGGATTCAAAGGGAGTCCAGATTCCATAATTTCCCTAGTGTGAGAAGAAGGCCATGCATGAAACTCCTTTGGGATGTCTTGTGATACTGCATTTCACCAAGGATCGTATTCCAGATCTGATTCTAGGCAGTACCATAGACACATGAACAGATAAAGCTGCCTTATATTGGATCAGACCTCTGGTTCATAGAAGTCATAGAAGGGGGACGTTTAGCGGTGGGCCTAGGCAGTTGAAAGAGGGAAGGTCACGGAGAACTAGAAGAGCTCGGTGCCCTTCCAGCCTTTGGCCCATCCCAAGGGTGGTTGGCAGTGGGGTCGGGATTGTTCCCCCTCCGTCATTGATGCTGTGCAACGCCAGGTCCATTAACAACAAAGTCACAGTCCTACGGGACTTTGTGACGGGACATCAGGCGGACCTGGTGTGCGTGACTAAGACCTGGGTGAGAGAAGGGGAGACCCTGAATCTCACACAGTTAGCCCATCCAGGCTACTCGGTCCTTCACCAATCGCGGAAGAGGGGACGGGGGGGGAGGAGTTGCTATTCTCATTCGGGAGGCTTACTTCTTCAGGATACTCCCGTCGGTAGAGTGTGTCAGCTTGCTGCTGGGGGCTGAAGAGAGTTTGGCAATTTGGCTGGTGTACCGACCGCCTGTCAGCTAGCTGCCATGGAGTTCTGTGTGACATTGTATGCTCCCAGCTTATGCTCATTCCCCCCCCCAGCCGAGCACCGGCTTGTAGTTCCTTTGGCTTTTGCTGTGCTCATTAGGTACATTCCTTTCCCTCTCTGCTAGGGCTGCTTTGGAACTTAGATAACGCTCAAGGTTGACTGGTGGAAGATGGGAGGCGTTTTGGGTTTGCTTTGATTATAATGAGCTAGGGCTTGAGGAGCGAAATAATGTTTATGGTTAGAACCGTTTGTTCCCAGGGGTTTTGGGCACCTGTTTTACCTGTTTTCCTGCACGCGGGAATTGGACCCATTGGCCATGGTTTGGTATGAATTTGTATATTACCTTGCACCCCGGGGTTAGTCTCCATTCTTAACAATCCTTGTGTTCCCTTTTCACCATTGCTTTAATAAATGCTACTTTGCTACAAACGTGGATTTATTTGAATGCCTGGAGGATCGGACACCGCCTAATACACCGGCCAATAGTCTGCCGTCCCTGCTGGAGGCCATATCAGGCTGGGCGTTGGATCACCCTCGACTTATCGTCTTGGGTGATTTCAACCATGCTGAGGATGCGGCCTCCAGCCGGGCTACAGACCTAGTGTCGTCCATGGCAACACTGGGACTCTCACAGTGTGTATCGGCCCCTACGCATCAGGCTGGTCACATGCTCGATTTGATCTTTGCAGCGGGTGTGGAAGTTGACCGGATTACTGCTGAGGCAGTGCCATGGTCGGACCACCTGGCCCTGAAGGCCCACCTGAGCATTCCATCTCAACCCAGCTTAGGCGGCAAGCGTATTTTTGCTTGCCCGCGGAGCTTAATGGACCCGGAGCAGTTCCAGAGGGCTCTGCGGGATCCCAGGCCCCTGGTGGCTCATTGGATGAGCTAGTGGAGGACTGGAATGTCCAACTCTCCATGGCCATCGATGAGATCGCTCCCAGGCGTCCTCTCTGTACTCGCGTTAGGCGTGCCCCCTGGTATACCCAGGGGCTGCGGTCGCTGAAATGGGAACTTAGACGATTAGAGAGACGGTGGCGCCGCGCTCGTGATGAGGCAACAAGAACATCCTATAGGACTTTTATGAGATCCTATGAGATGGCAGTCAAGGCCGCTAAGAGGGATTTTTATGCGGCTGAGATTGCGTCTGCGAGCTCGCGCCCGGCCCAATTATCTCTCCTTATATATAATTGAGTATATAATTGAGTATGAACGTTCTATATGAACATTCTAAATTTCACCTCCTTAGTGTTAGGCCGGAAAAACTGCCACTCAGTAACACTGGCTGGGTTGACTGGCTGCTTTGTGCAGTCCTGCCCAGCATTCCAAGGTTATTTGCATACGGAAGCTGATTGGACAACACTCCATTCCACACCTCAAACTCACCCCCCCGCAAGGGAGTTGGGATTTTTAGTTGCATCATACCTCCTAGGGGAGAGGAGAATGATGTCAGCTGCCCTTTCCCTAG